TGGACAATTTGTGTATGCGACGTGTCAACGCTCGGCTTGTTCCGATTCACCTCAATTTGTTCAACATTATCAACGATTTTAAGGCCAAAAATTCAATAAATACCATCGAACAGCCACCGTATTCACCTGATCTTGCACCGTGTGACTTTTTCCTGTTTCCCAAACTCAAATTACCCCTCAGAGGAACGCGTTTTGAATCCATAGAAGACGTAAAACAGAATTCGCAGAGGGAACTCAAAGCCATACCGGAAAGCGCCTATAAAAATGTTTTGATGATTGGAAGAAACGTTGGCATTTGTGTATCGCTTCTAATGGAGCATATTTTGAAGGAGATAAAATAAATATTGATGAAGATTAAGAATTTTGCGTTTTATTTAAAAATTTCCGGAAGCTTTTCGGTCACAATGTATTATGTATAAAGATATACATGGAGCTACAAATTTGCATTTTGTTTAGTGCAAACACACATTACTATAAAAAATTCACTTTATTTACTTAATTTAATTTATTAATTAGGCATCAGTACAGTTAACTTAATTTTTAAAGCTTTCAAAAATACCAGGTGTACCGGTATGAAATAAGCGTTTTTTGGTGAAAATAAAACACTAATTATTAATAGGAAAGTAAAAAACATTTTATTCAAAGTATTGGCCATTGCTTTCTACACATTTTGACCACTTTTCTGGCAATTTGTGGATACCACGCCAAAAAAATTGTTCGTTTTTTAAAGCCACTTTTCTTCAAATGAAAACAAAAAATTAATGCTTTCCGCAAATCATCACTTTCTGGTACAAAATTCGACATTTTTAACACGATGAAAAAATATGATGTCTGTTCAATGACTTGATGTATACTAAATATGTATACATATGTCATAGCAAACAAACAAAAAGAAATAAAGGCTCGTTCACAACAAATGTTCCCTGTCGGAACATATGTATCTTTACGCTCGCTTCATACCGGTACACCTGGTATATAGATCTTCAATTGTTGATTTTTGGGTATTTAACCGTAACCGTAGTTAGATTCGATATCATCTCTACTATTTAATAAATTCAAATTCACAAGGTCCCATTAACACTATATCTGTTTATTGGTCAAATTACGGATTTTTTGTTTCGATTTTGTAGCAGTATTTTGTTCAAAACAAGGTCGCTGATCTTAACAGTAATCAATTCCTTTTGAAATAAGTAAGTTTCACTTCACCAATTAAGTTCAATTACGAAACTTAGCTTCAAACCTGCGTTAGTACCAAAAAATTGCAGTAGACTGTTAACTTTGTCGAACGTAATGCATTTTATTGCATCAGAACTATATTCTGATACTCAAAAACACTATTATATATAAAACTAATTACTCGCATATAAAAAATTCGAAGTATTTATGTAAAACGTAACACATTTTCATAATTCTATAGCATTCTATAAAAGCTAGTAAGGAGCCCTGATGACTTAGAAGCTACTCTGTTTTAATTGAAAACTGTAATCGAAATCTTAATGTTATGATAACTGTGAAGTATCTTTACAATAATTCTATCTTAGTAGAGAAATCTCTTATTAAGCTAAAAAGATTTTGGCTATTAACTTTGATGATGTTTACTTAATTTGGTGATGTTGACTTAACGAAATGTAAGCTTCCTACAACAGCAGTAAGGCTACACCAGCTTCTTTCACGACAATCTTAGCGTACAGAATGAACATTATCAAAGCTGCGACCTAACCTCTACATGATAGCGGTAGCCAGGGTAGCCAGTACACTCGTCACGATAGTCGTTATTGCCAACGTATCGTGTTGAGGTACTCCATAAGTAATCTCGCCGTCACCATTTCGTCAACGTTTTATGAGATTTATCGCAATATTATTATCTCTTTGTCGCCTAACTAAATAGTTATATTAATTAGTGCTGGGTATTGTTGATGGTTATTATACTGTATTATAATATATATTATATTATGATTATAAATTATATAATCAATATCGATTTTGATAACATTTTCTCGATATTAGCAATGCAAGAAGCGTAGAGCTTTAGGTAAAAATGCAATGAAAATACAGAACTAATATTTTATTTTATTATTTATATTTTATTAAATGTTTCAATACTGCATAATTTTAGTCAAGTTTTACTATATACCATTATCTAAAGTGTTTGATAACGGACGAATAGTGAGTTGACATTTTTTAATAAGGTACGCCGCGTATCGTAAGCTGTTAAGATTAAACTTATTGATATATGTACAGTATTATTACAAATCAAATAGATAAAAAACTTTTATTTTACAGTATACGTTTTTCTATATTGCAACTACTTGTTGTACTTATATAATATATTCCATTGATTTTAAATTACTCTACTATGAAACTTTAAAAAAACCTTCTTCTGAATATTTAGACAACAAATGATGCACTTCTTCCAGAAAAGCAGGATTGCTGTATAAGGACTTGCGAAAGTCTCTTGAACCCATAGCCTTTTCCAAACAAAAGCTTTTGTCTAGCCATACATAACGAACTGGTAAGCACATAGCAAAAATAAAAAATTCTATAACAAAAGAAAATAATCAAAGTAAAATGTTTAGTGCAAAATAAAAAACCATGTATAGAAAAAAAGAAAAACTTACCAAGATGCTTGTGCTTTAAAAACAAGGCTCTAATATCACTTAATTCGGGAAGAGTGCCACCAAAACCAACCTTACTTAAGATTGACTTGAAATGACTATAATACAGATGGAGTAACTCATCGAAGCGTTTAAAACGTTGTTCACGTGATAACATCATATAGAATGCATTGCTTAAATCAACTACTATAGGACCAACAAAACTCATTTGAAAGTCCAAGAATAGTGCGTTCTCTAAATTTCTTTGATTTGTATGATTCTTAAACATCATGTTTTTAAAATGAAAGTCTCCATGACACAGCACGTATATACCATCTTTTTGTGGATTTTCACGATACTCATCACATGTTTTACGACAATTTTCCATCATATCTTTTTGTAATGTCTCAAAAAATGGTTTGTATTGGTTCAACGAAGGCACTTCGTCTAGCATTTCTATAACCAATGGTATGGAATCAGTCATAAAATCATTTTGACACATTTTTGGTTGATTCATGACACAGTAACGAAAAGTGTCAAATAGTTCTGGTTCCTAAAACAGAGAGAGATTTTGTTCAATTTTAACAAAAGTGATACTATAGCATGTATAATTTTAAATTTAACCTTTTCAAGTAGAAAATAACTAATTCCATGAAACAATGCCAATTTTCTAAAGACTTCTTTTACTTCCTCCATATTAACATCGCGTTCACGTAGTATACTGTAACCAAGAGGTACAAGATCTTCCAAAATTATGAACTGTTTTGGATTTAAGCCCCAATGTAAACATCTGTAAGGAAAAATTTTTTAAAGGAAATAAAAAAATAAAAAAAAATAATAATATACATATATATTAAAAATTAAAATTAAAAAAATATACCATACATATCAAAATTGGTTCATTAGGTTTACACTTCTACTGAGAAAGGTTTTTACTTTTAGAATGCAATATATGAAATATTGATTTTGTGTAGGTTGTATTTTGTATTGTATTGTGAGGCAATATTTTGCCTTCTAAAATGAAATAAGCGTCTGAATTAGAGTACTACAATTGTTGTTGTGTTCAGATCTATTAGACAAATTAAACTAAAACTACTGCAGTAAAAATAAGTTTACTGGTAACATAGATTAGCTTAGGCCGCGGTGGTGACTTTCAACACCAACACAAGTGACATACGTCAATAATTTTTTATGTACTTATATCAATTGCTTCAACGAACTAGTTGGTAAGTGAGGCATAGAAACCTACAATTAATCACATCATCAACATAAGTACCAAATGTCAATCTACTTACAGTCACATAGAAACCTTCTGTTTCAAGATAAAAAATAACCAACCCAACTTACTTGGGTCCAAATGTTGTGTCATCACCAACGGAGCGTAGAATACTTTCAAATTTTGGTAAAATTTTAGTGTAAATACCAATTTCAGTTTCAAAAATTCTAGTGTCGCCAAGAAAATCTTTCTTATCCCCCTCCATTTCAGGCATGGTCTTAATAATCATAGACTTAACATTCTGCACACCTGCCAAATTGTACTCTACTTTGGCTCGGAACATAACACTGGCATAATGATCGCCCTTCAGAGTCCCCGGAGTTAATTCAAAATTATTAATTTCAACGTCGTCTACTTTCTCACAATTCTGTAGAACGGTTTCAAAAAATTCCCTATTTAACCACTCCGGTGCGACCAATTCATCTTCACTGTAAATTTCTGTTGACGTCATAATAATTGCGGCTTTTTTTTACACGTGTACTTTTAAAAAAAACAAACGCCGATACCCCCTCGAGTGAACGAAATTCACCGGCAAACTAACGAATTTCTTACATATAATTTTGTTTTTATTTATTATGCGCCAGTTCTCTCATATTCTTCCTATCTAAAATTATAAACAAACGCCAATAGAAATAAATTGCATGTGTGTTAGGTGTTGTGAAATTCATATACAAGTAAATCAAAAACAAAATAAAAACAAAAAATTATTTCAAACAAACAAAAACTCAAAACAAACCCAAGCAACCTGTTTTGCTACTTTACACACGTAATTGTTTGTATAGTGATGGGAATTGCTGCTCTCACTGAGAGCGGCACTACACTTGTGGTGCTCAACTTATTCTGTTTGCTCATTTTATGAAATTGTTTATAAATTAACAGCTGATGGCGTTTCAAAGCAAAAAAAAAAGAAAAAACAAGATTTTGTTTACTTGTTGATAGCAAATACTGATGTGTTTACACCCACAAAAAATTATTAATAGTAAATTCTAAAATAAATTGTTTAAACAACATTTTTTGCACGCATAAAGAGATGGTTGTGTTGATTATTGAGCGATGTTAAGTTGTGACTGAATAAAAATGTTTTTTTTATCAAATAATATTTAATATTTAAATAATATTTAATACCTTAGATTAAGTCTACTTTTTATATATATTTAATTTTATTTCTTTTTATGTTAAAATAATTTTTTATTTCTTTAGATTTGTGAATTCTAAATAGAGTTCCTAAGTCTAGAGGTACTCAAGATTTGGACCAACTTTTGGTTGAAGGTTTAATATTTTCGGGTTTTATTGTATATTTCAAAAGTTACCGTTTTACAAAAGTTTTTATTTTTAATCGTCACTTGAAAGCTTCATTGAGGGTTTATACTTCAATTACATTGCTTAAATAATAGTCAAATAAAAAATGTACCAATTAGTTAAGGAACTTACAATCTGTTTTATCTCCATAAGACTTGTGAGAAACAAACTTTAAGAGATGGGGGCATGTGATATGATATACATTTTCTTTATGAATAAAACTTGTGTTTCAAGACAGTTACAAAAAAAACAAAAACACAACAAATATACGAAGACAATAACTTATTTCATAGAACCGTGTTAAGATATTTGAAGACGAGAAATAAGTTATAGTTCTTGCGTTAATGTTATCATTAGCTGATTGGTAATTCTAGCTGGGTTATTTTTCAAGCAAATCTAAAATCTAAAACAAATAAATGGAGCGGTATGAAATCATTATCTTTTGTCTAACTTATATCCACATTTCGTAAAAATATCGACAGTTTTATTTTATTACCATTTTAATAAAAATCTATTAGTTATATTCTTCAACTCTTTTCGAAAGAAATGATTTAATGTGACTTATTATCGATTAGTAAAACCGATTTCCGCACATATATATGCATGCATACATATTCAAAGTTCAAAAATGCATATTATTTTATTTCCACAGTTAATTGGGACTTATTGTAAATATAATCATTTCTACTGAATTATATTACCTTGTACCGTATGTCGAAAGTAACGAAAATTAATTCGAAAACAGATTTTTTTATAAATTTATTGTAGTATATATTATTTATTTATAATATCAAAATATATATATAAATTTAATCGAAAATAGTGTCTTCTAATTTGACTTACTACAACTTGAATAAAGTAATTCTTTAAGCTGTTTTAATTCATCACTAAAATTGATCAAATTTTAAAACAACTAATATCAAAATTTCGATTGTTTAATGTCAATGGTTTAATTAATGTGATTGCTAGTTATGGGATTATGAAAAGCTACACCCCATGCACTATTCTCTAAACTCAGAAACTACATTGTAGTTTAGATTTTGAATAAATTCTTAAATTAATTTTTGGTTTAGGTGGTATTCTACATGCTTTTGAGACGAACAAATAGATAAGCATATCCATATTGCTTCGGTGATCTAGTATCGTTGTACTGGCATTGTTATCTGAAAGTATTATATACGACTCGAAATGGTCTTTATCATACACAAGCAAGTGAAACATAAATTGCATTTCAGCAAACGTTGCAATAAAGCCTGTATAAAACGTTAAAAACATATTTAAAAAGAGTACTTTGAAGTACTTCAACCTTGTAATTGCATATTTTTGTTTAAAGCATTTGCTACTCGCATTTGGAAAATATTCGTGACGAAGCCAGAGAGCACCTAATAGTTGAGAACATTTGCAAAAAAACGGTCGATTGTCAATGCCTTGCATTTGGTGGAGTAGATAAAAATAATCTCTGTATTTTTTATAAAAGCAATCAAACTGATTCAGCAAAGATAGTCGATAGTAACTCATAAAAGTGCAATGAAGTTGTGCATATTTCAGACCATATGAATTATTTGGTATTTTGATATTCTCAAACCAAAGCATTTTTTTAGAAATCGCAATATCCTAATATATTGATTTTTTAACTTAAATTTTTGACTATATTTTAATATTGAACATAATAATGTTAGTAAGCAAATTTCAGTATTGCTTTGTACAATAACAAAAATTTTTTTCATTATAATATTTTTATAAGTAACTTTAGCTTATTGTTAATTTGACTTCAACACTGAAATATTTGAAAACTATTTTTTGTAATAAACAAATTAGTTTATTCATTAATTGAAATAAATAATTATTACGTATGATGTCGTATTATTCAATACGACAATAAAAATTATCATATTAAATTAAAAAAGGTTAGTGAAAGTCATTCTTGGTTTGCAAATTTATATAAAAGTCCAGTGTAATTACTGCCATGAAGACACAACAGTACGGTGCTCTTAACACGCATTTCGGTTTAACGCGAACAACGAGTCAATACTTTTCTGTCCAAACCGCGGCTTTCTGTAATAGACGGAAATCCGAAAGCACTCCAAGGCTGTTTTTGAGGTCAATATAAAGAAATCTTCCTGGATAAATACAAAGCAATAGGTCGACTTAGTGTAGCCTATATTACCCCAGTACAGGCCCCACAATGGAAAGTTATCCAATCTTGTTAAAATGCAGTTTTGCGATTAAGAAGCGTATCGAATGACCATTCTCATGCAGAATATAAAATACTTTAATATAGTAAGCTATATTAATATAATAATATAATTAACTATTGTCTAAACGAGATTTAATTGTGTGCCACACAAATGATGATCCCAATAATTATATGATGCGTGGAGTCTCGATTAGGATGCATCCGACGATCCGTTTCATCGTATTTGGAATATATCGGTGTCCATTGCAATCGTTTAAGGTCGAATACAAACGACCAACGATTTTATCCTTTTGATACCATCGTTACACAACGATAAAGTTTTTTAATAAACCTCCGTCTGATGTCTCCAGAAAAAAGCGTTGTCTTTTTTAAACAATAAGAATCATGCTAGCCCTATTCATATCAATACCTTCGTTCTCAATGTGTGCCCTAACTTCAGTTAAACTCTTTAAGATCTGACCCATCTGTTCTTATCGCTTTATGTGCCCACCAATTTGAGTTTTATTGATCTGTGAGTCTGAGGCATTAAAGTAACTCAGTTTCTACGTCTCGATCCAGACTAGTTTTAATTAAAACATATACATCCCACACCGATTCCGTCCCACAATCAATCGCTTTCATCGTTCTAACCTCTTACAACTTAACCAACCCATGTATACGGATTAATTGCATATATATGCTCTGCTATATAGATTTGCTCGTGCGAGAACAACAATATTCTTTCAAGGATCGATTAGGTAAAGTCGCATAAAAAAAATTAGTAAAATATTGTTAATATATTTTATTTGCTCAGTAAATGCATTTTATTATAGTGTTGCAATATTTCTTAAAACAAATTATTACTTTAAAAATAATTGTTAAAAAGTGCAATTATACTAAGTCCTCAAAATATCCTCGGTGTAACAATTTGGGTAGCAAATGCTGAAGTTCTTCTATGTATCCTTTATCATTGTATAATGTTTTGCGATATTCTCTTGAACTCATAAGCTTTTCTGCATCCAAGGTTTTACTTAGTAATCCGTAACACATTGGTAGAAAGCTAGACAGCAAAAAAAATCCTGAAATCAAATTAAAATGTTTAAAAAAATTAAAAATATTTTTAAATAAAATTAAAGTTACCCAAATATTTGTGCTTTAAAAACATGGCTTTGACTTCAGCAAATTTAGGTATAGTGCTATGAAAATCAATCTTTTCCAGAGTAGCTTTAAAATGATTGTAGTATAAATGGAACAATTCCTCAAAATGATGCATGCGTTGCTCTCTGGAGCAAGCCATGTAAAATGTATTGTACAAATCTGTGGCTGTGGTTCCCACGTGGCAAAGTTGAAAATCAAGTATAAGTATATCTTCTAGTTTCATATCGATGGGATTGTGTTTAAACATCAAATTTTTATAATTAAAATCGCCATGACATAAAACATATATACTATCATTCTGTCGATTTTCACGAAACTCATCATATGTTTGACGACATTTCTTGAACAAATTTTTTTGAATTGCCTCAAAATAAGGCTTGTACATACGTAGTGAAGGTATTTCATTTAACATTTCAATAAATATTGCTATACCGTCTGTCATCAGTTCACTGTCGCAAATTGCTGACTGATTCATTAAACCATACTTAAGATTGTCAAAGAGTTCTGGTTCCTGAAAAAAGCATTAAAACATTTTATTAATGATTCACAAATATTTTTCTTGTACGAACTTTTATATTGAGTGAATAGCCAATAGCATGAAAAACGGCTAATTTTCGCATTATTTCTCTTATTTCTTCCATATTGATTTCCCGATCACGTTGCACAGTATATCCAAGCGGTACGAGATCTTCAAAAACTATGCACTTTTTAGGATGCAAACTAAAGTATAAACAGCTAAAAAGATAGTTCATATTTAGAAATTATACAATTAATAAAATATCTTTTGGGTACACTTTTGGGTATAAATGGAACCGACAAACAAGAAGCATCAATGTATATGCAAAGATTATGTACAAAAAAATCAAAAATTTGTCAGCAATCAGCATTAATGCGAATAATATCTCAATAAGAACACGAGTTTACTTAAGAAAAGAACATTTTAATTGACTAACATATGTAAGTAAATGGCATTAAAGATTTTTTGAAAAAATTTTTTAACTCTGTATATGATTTTCACTTAAAACTCTCGAGTTTACTTTGTAAACTTTTTACAAACAACAATAATATTATTATTGGTATTCTCATACAATTTTTTTCGGTAGTAATAACAATAGTACTTATACATCTTTACACAAAGTTTTATAAAGTTATACGTTATGAACCATCTTCCTTATACTTACTTCGGTCCAATTTTTGTGCTATCTCCTATGGATCGTAAAATACTTTCAAATTTTGGCAAGACTTTAGTGTAAAGAGTTACTTCAGTTTCAAAGATATGTGTTTCCATCAACATATCTTTTTTTGCTCCTTCCATTTCAGGCATTATTTTTATAATTAAAGATCGCTTTTTCTGCAAACCCTGAATCTTGTAATCCACATTTGCTCTAAATATAACACTGGCAAAATGATCGCCCTTGACAGTGCCTGGAGTGAGTTTAAATTTACACACCTCCACTTTCGTCACATTTTCACAACTTTGTAATACTGCTTCGAAAAAATCGATATTGACCCACTCCGGTGGTACTAGTTCATCTTCATGAAAACTTTCCGTTGGCGAAGTCATAATGGGTAATGCACGTGCACTCGTACTCTTTCGAAAATAATTTATTTAGATTGGTACTGTACGAGCGAACTTCTATAGAAGTGTGAATGTTTTCGAACGAATCTTTATATATTTTATATTTTATATTACATGGAGTTCATATCAGTTGTTCTCTCATATCTGAAATGTCTGAGTATCTATAAGTACAAACAAACTGCACGTGTTTACGAATGTTGTGAAATACGTTTTTAAGCAAAACAAACGCAAACTCAAAACAAAACTGAGGAAAATAAGTTTGTTCTACAGTCTAGGAAAAATGTTAGTAATTAATTTATAAAAAAAACGTTACGTTTTTTATTTAAAATTTTGAGCCATGAGGAACAATAACTACATGTATTACATTTTTTTGGGGTTATAATTTTTTATTACAATTGGAGAAGATATACTAACTAAATAGAATAGATGTAGAAGATATAGCTTTGTTTGCACAAATGAATGAAATGGAATAAAAAGTTAGAATTAATGAAGAATGTGAAGGAAACGCCTTGTCGAGAAAAATTCTACATAATGATTTGTTATGCTAAGACTTGAGGGTATGTATCATTTAGTCCAATAAATATCTTTTAATTCATTGCCTAATATTTTCCTTTACATACATTAAATGGTTTAAAAATTATAATGGGTCAAATTTTATTTTTTACATATTGCTCGATAAATTTTTTTGGAAACTGAATTTATCTAAATTTTTTTTTGGTTAAAATGAAAGAACACAATACGAGTAAAAGAATTCATGCGAAATGATAATATATATCATAAATAATTACTGGACGTTTGAGACATCATAAACATTATAGGACACACGTGAAGATATAATACAAAAGATTTATAGTATTGAATCTATTAGATAACCTTAAAAATAATAAGACATAAGATAATAAATTAAAAGTACATTTATTCATAGTACATTAAATAAACATATATTATAAGCTGCAGACGTGGTTAAAACTGAAAAATTCATTATTCAAAATATAAAAAAAAAGATCCAGCAAGTATTATCTTTTAATGATACTAGAATAATATGGTTCAATATTTTTCGTTTCATATTTAGACAATATTCAAGTGATTTAAAAAATCAAAATAAGTTATAGATTTTGAAAAGACCTTTGTAATTAGTATTTCTTTAATTATATTGGAGGGTTATATATCTGAGCGTTTAGATACTAAGGTATGGGGATTATGACGCTGTTGTCATAAACATAATATTAATATTTAAGGTTAATTTTTTCTTGCCGATAATGGCGTGTCTTTCTCTGACGAAAGAAACTATTTAAAAGTTAGACGGATTCGAATAGCAAAGAAATGACAAACACAAAAATTTATTTTTAATTTTATTAAAAATTTGGCTGACCATACAACGCTGTTTCGAGTATTGCCAAGTACTCTTCATCAGTGGTCTTTGGAAATAATCAAATTTTATTTAATTAGTTTATAGTCCATATATAATTTGTTTGGACTGCAAGTGCCAGGCTTAGAACTCGTGCCTGTCAAATTAGAAGCGATGACTAATCGTGTTTATCCACAAGAAGCCAGGCTGCACAAACTTTCAATGCTCAAGTTCCAGGTTTTTTTGTCACTTATTTTTTATTTAATTAGTGACACCACGCAAAGCACTTGCCGTGCTTTAAATAAAGCTGTAGTTTATAAGCTCGTTCTAATTTAAAGCACGGCAAGTGCTTTGGTAGTACAACAATGTAAATTTGAGAGCATAAATAAGGGTAAGGGCGCTAATTATTTTCGGCAAATCTCATGATCACATCAATTTAACTGTTCCAGATCTTCTGCAGCAACTAGTCAACGTTGTAGAAATTTTGTTGCAAAAACAATTATTGGAAAAATTAAACATAGTTTTTTCAGGTATTAGTTTTGTAAATATAATTTTATAAACTGGACGACTAATTTTAAAAAAAATTCGATTCACTTTGTCTAAGATTCAATGTATTCAATATTGTTGAATAGGAAAGAGTACTTATGAATATAATTCGGGTTGGTAAACGAAGTTCGCAGGAAACAGAGAGGTGGTTAAGAGTTGATATAGGTACTATACATCTAAATTATTTTTTTGAGTATTTTGAGTATACACTATATATGTATTTAAGACATATATAGTGTATTAGTAGATGAGCTAATATGAAACCTTTCCGTGAGCTGTCGAAACAAATCAATAATGGCAGTTTTGTAAATGTTGATCCCTAAATATACCTAAATAAATTGTACACAAGAAATTGAAACAATGTAATATGATTAATAGGTAAAGAGAGTGAGAGGACTGTAAAGTACAAAATTGATTTTTTTTGAATATAAAATTTAATTAGTAATATAAACCATTGCACTCAAACCTAAAATTCTTTTGTTTAATAAATAATCTTATCTCCAATTCACATGTATTTTATCAGATATGTACTTCTGTTAAAAGTACTAGATACTTTTTGATAGAATATTGAATATAGCAAATGTGTATATAAATCAAACCGGCGAAAAATTTTCATTTCCAGCGTTAAGAATATATTTAATTTTCTCAACTATAAGCTTTTCAAATCATTTTTTGAATCAATTATAATTTATTATAATTCATTCTTTTATTTTTGCACAAATTTAGTTGAATATAATAACAAAAAAGTTTCTCATTGAACATAAGTAATTTTACTTAAATGCTTTCAAATCCACTAGTTTTATTAAGCGAACATAATAATCAAAAATGATAATAGTTCCATGTTTCTTTTATTATTGTTTGTTTGGAACTCACCAATAAGAGCGCATATATATAATTTATAAAAATTTTTAAGTTCCTTTAATTGCAATAAATAATTTTTAAAAACTATAATATTTTCAAATTAAGTCTTCAAAATAGCCACTGTGTAAATATTTTGGAAGCAATTGATGAAGTTCATCCAGAAACCCCTGATCATAGTATAATGTCTTGCGATATTCTCCTGAACTCATAACCTTATCGACATCCATAACCTTCTTAAGTAGTTCGTACCGCATTGGCAAAAATGTAACCAATAGCATTAATTCTATAAGAAAATGAAATATTAAGATTATTGAAAATATTTACTTAACAAAATAAAATATACCAAAATGTTTGTGTTTCAAAAACATTGCCCTGATTTCGCTCAATTTAGGCACCACCCCATCAAACCCAATTTTGTTTAGTATTGTCCTGAATTGACTGTGGTACAGATAGAGTAATTCATCGAAATGCTGGAAGCGTTGCTCCCTCGAGCTCATCATATAAAATGCATAGTATAAATCATTTACAATGGGTCCAATATAGCTAAGCTGAAAATCTAAGAAAAGTCCATCTTCAAGTTGTTTATTCAAAGGATTATTTCTGAACATTAAATTTTTAAAATGAAAATCTCCATGGCAGAGCACATATATTCCACTACTCTGCGGATTTTTGCGAAATTCATCAAATGTTTGACGACATTTTTCAAAAACATCTCTTTGAAGTACTTCAAAATATGGTTTATATTCACGGAGTGTTGGTATGTCATTTAGCAATTCTACAAAGAATTTTATACCATCTGTCATAAATTCATTTCCGCATATTGCTGGTTCATTCATTAAGCCATATTGCAAACCATCAAATAGTTTTGGTTCCTGAAAAAAATCATTAAGTTACCATCTTTTCGGAACAAAAGTTCTTCTTTCCTAAAAACCTTAATGTTTTGTGAGTAACTCATTGCATGGAACACTCCTAACTTCCGCATAATTTCTTTCATTTCGTCCATGTTGACATCGCGATCACGAAGCACTGTATACCCAAGTGGCACAAGGTCCTCAAAGACTATGCACTTCTTGGGATATAAACTGTGATACAAACAGCTTGAAAAAAAAACATAGGTTATTAATCAATGGATCAATAATAGTAAGCAAAATTTTAATATTAAGGCTAATAATTAATTAATTAATAATTTTACTTACTGTTATCTTTTTTAAGTAATGTTTTTTAAATCATTGTGTAAAAACTTATGCATAAATAGTGATTATACAATATTTAACTAAAGAAATTTACTGTCTAATATTCCATGAGGCTATTAAAGTTTGGAGCAAGTGGAGTAAAGTAAATCCAAATTTGTATCATATATTTCCAAAAACTGGAAGGAGATGTAGAATAGCGTCATGCATAACGATCTGGATGGCTTATGATATTAAGGAATTTGTTCTGTTCTGTTTATTATATGATGAAGACTTTTTTTTTTTTATAATGACTTTATATGGAAAATATTATATGACAATATTGCCCGTAGAAATGTATATATAATTTACCACCAGAAGAGTTACCAGAAGTGGAGAAGTTAGCAACTACTCCAGCCCTATGATATAGCCTTATATATAACTGCAGGTTCAGAATGTTACCTATAAGATGCTTTTTTGGTAATTTTTGTCTTTATTGATTTGCATTTATTTTCCTGACTCAAAGTGGGTTTCTTTGTTTCAATTTGAGATTCCTAACCTGTTATAACGGCTATCTGTACTAAGTCATTTCATAGTGTGCATCGGTGATTATTATTGCAAATTATATTATTTTTTTGAAATAAAGATACTTTCAACCTTTGAAAGTATCTTTTCATCAAGCGTAGGCATCAGGCGAAATAGTCAAGTTAAGGATCCATCCTATTATTTGCACCTTATTAAATTAGTAAATAGTTTTGTCTTTGAGCAATATATCATTGCAATATGGATGTGTACAGTTTTGTGGAGTGTTAGATAACAAACAGATCGATTATTTGAATAATTACTAGATATTTTTTGAAGTGCAACAGTGGTTTGGAGCTATTTTCTACGGATTAAGTACAAATATTTTATCTTTTTGCAAAGTAAAAAAAATCTATTTTAATTTAAACAAAAGTATCATGGATTATTTATAAAAGCGAAATACAACAGATTTCAATACAAAATGCTCTTAAAAATATAATAAATTATTAACTTAACACTACCACTACATCAAAGGTCAATGAACTTTTTTGTCTTTTTTTAAGACAAATTAAATACGGTGTGTATTTAATTTGTCATTATTACACTATTACTTACTTCGGTCCAATTTTCGTGTTGTCTCCTATGGAGCGTAATATACTCTCAAACTTTGGCAAAATTTTGGTGTAGACAGCTATTTCAGTTTCAAAGATATGTGTTTCTGTTAACATATCTTTCTTTAGTCCTTCTAATTCAGGCATAGTTTTTATAATTAAAGATTTTGTTTTATGCAAATCATGTGATTTATAGTCCACGTTAGCTCTGAACATGACACTGGCATAATGGTCTCCCTTCATAGTACCCGGTGTGAGTTTAAAATTGATTATTTCTACTTCCACATTTTCACAATTCTGTAGTACATTTCTTAAAAACTCGTTATTTAACCATTCTGGAGCTACGAGTTCATCTACATTAAAATTTTCGAGAGTGGGTGACATTATACTAAACAATTGTTTAAAAAGTAGCTTTGCAAAATTATTTTCCGTATAGTTGGTAATCAATCCAAAGTCTTTTAAGTACTAATCAATTTAAAACAAATAATTTCTTTTTAACTTAAATGCATTATCGAAGCTCACTGATAAATTGCCAAATCTTTTAACGATCAGTGGACGAAACAACTTTTTATCTGTTTTTATTTACAAAAGTTATGAAATAAATAAATTATTTTGTATATATATATATACACGTTTATATATAATACATATAAAACGAAATGGCTTAACATGTTATCTCAAACCAGCGGTTCTTAAACTGTGTAATGTTATTATCTAACGAACGCCATATCAAAACATTGGTCCAAAAAATATATTCGGTTTGTTTTGGGAATGAATGGGTTGAGTAGAGAAATATTGCAGTATTTGAAAAATAGATATTATTTTTGCTGTATATATATGAGTGGATTATGTGTTCTCTTCATGGTACTTAATTAAGTATGCGGTATAGAGATTTTAGGGTTATATGTTGTAATTTAGCGTACAAAGCTTTACCTCAGGACCATGCAGTTTCTGCTAAAAATTTTTAATGAAAAAGATTTCTATAAGACTTTTATGTATAAAAAATCGAAATACTACCTGTTATATGTGTCAAACTTAAAATTATTTCTTTTATTGTTTATTGTAGTTGCAGAACTAAACATTAGTAAAACGATGTGATCTTATCACATGCTTCAATAAGACTGATTTGATACGGACTATATAAGTTGACTTAAAAAATTTTGGTAAGTAAAAATTTAACTTTATTTTAACTTAAAAGTGCAATTTTTTTGTTAGTGTTTCACTAAATTAAAACAAATGAAATGAGGAAAAAAAAGTTTGGGAACCAATGTTCCAAAACATAAAATAATAGTGTTTATTATTTTATGGCTATCAATTTTTACGTTCAGAATACATATTTGAGATTATAAAATTATTTATGAGAAACAGCTGATTGCAATTTACCAACACTGAACACTGAATAAACAATAATAATATTGATCTAATTAATTTAGCTCAATAAAACAATATTGATTACACTCACACAAAAATATTGGTACACAATTGCAATCATATATAATTCAAATGTATTCTGTCATAAGTTATGAGCAGATGAGTACAACTATCATTAAAACCATTTATTTATAATGAAATTAATAAAATAATTTATTTTTGTTTAAATGTGTTATTAAAGTCGAAAGGTTTCGAAAACCAAAACAAAAATTCATTTAACTTGTAAGTAGCTTAAAGATGCTATAAAGCAAGTTATTTAAGGTACGTAAGTTTATATTATAAACCAACTTAAGACTTTGCATTTTAGGTATATTTGTATATAAAATAAATTCAACTACTTTAATCTGATATACTCAATAACACTGTTCGGGAGCAATTATGCTCAACTATCAAAAAGTTTTTGTTATAAAATCAATTATATGCTCTGAATGCAGAAATAGCTTTATTTTCGGCAACAGTATGTAGAAATAGTAGTAGGTACTACCAGAAGTAATAATTCCACTACAATAGTAACACATAATAGTCGTTAGGAAGTCCACAAGAAACGAAACAACCATAAACACAACCAGCTGATTAAGTAAGTAGTATACAGGGTCACAGCAGTTAGCAGAATGTTACAAAATGCCAGTCATTAAATTTTTATTGTCAAGTGATAGCAATAATTGATTTATTGTTTCTGAAAAATAATAGTTGACAAAATCCTCTTTATATGATGTGTGTAACTGAAATATCACTAGGCTTTGCCTAATTATATTTCAGTTTTACTAAACTGAACTGTAAAATTGTTAATGCAATATAATAATTTTCAATAAATTCATTCAAAAAATCGAAAAATTAAGATCTAAGTTATTATATATGTTATCTATGTCATTTATAGATCAGTCAAAAAATTTCTTCAAAGCATCATCAAT